TCAAATTGCTTTAAACAAATATAAAAGGAATACTTTTGTGACTATACATAGAAATATATTTTGACAATCCTATTATCTACATATTTAATGGTTTATCTTCTATTTTTACATAAACATTTATATTCATCAAATGTTAAAAAAAAAATAAATCAGTAAAATTAATTTTGATACTAATTATGTAATATATATCTATACACACATATACTATACTATATATATATATATATATATATATATGTCAATTGGCTATTTTGACGACATCAAAAAATCGAAATTTTATGTATACATAAGAGTACATCGACTCCCTGACGTATACATTAGTTATATTTTGTAATAAAATGAACTGGTACATATGTATAAGCAATTAAGTATAAAACCATTAGTACAGCGACAGTACAAAATTATGTACAACACATTGTACTATTTGACTATTATAACGACACCACTAATTTCTATAAAACGGTTGTTTTAACGACACTCCAAAAATAAGTTGAAAAATCTTTTTGAATAGCAATCATTTATCAAATTTTTCAACTTTTTAATCATATTTTCGTATATACTAAAGAATGTCATATAATTTAAAATTAATTATTACTATCGGAAAAGCGATAAACGATTTTTGGAGCTTTCATTGGATTCTCGAGGCTATAGATGTGATGTAATAGTAATATTGGCTCAAAATTCAACCGTCTAATTGAAATGACTTTTCGTTTAAAGAAATTTATAGGATTTCACAATATATGAAACCCTTATTGTTAGAACAAATTTTTTAAGCAAGAAGTTAATTATTCGATTGACATTATGTATTTTGTTATAATTTATTCGAGTATTATTTTGCTTTGATTTATTAATATTTATAATTTGTTTTTAAGTAAATTTAAGTTGTGTTTTACTTGTAATACGCAAAATCAGCTGGATATCGATTCTGTAACTTTTTCTAAAGTGAAAACGTGAAAAGTAAAAATTTCCGCCAATCGTACATCGATTTCATTTTAAAATCAATGCGTGATTGGCGAGAATTTTTCACTTTTCACATTTTCACTTTAAAAAAAGTTACAGAATCGATATCCTGGTGCAAGGAAGTGAAATCAGTTGAAACGATAGGACGATTTTTTAGTCTTTTCGTAGTTATTTTCAAGTTAGATATTTCGTCATCATGCGTTAACAAGAACGGATGCAATACCGAGCGTCTTCTTTATAAACCTTGTTTTTGAGTGCTATAAAAGTTTATAGAAATATCAAATTATTAATGTTTTTTTAGTTGGAGTTAATAGGTGACAAGTGTTAGATGTATAAATATTTTTTTTGTTTTTTGTATATACATAAATACATTAACGCACAAGAAAAGCTAGATTAGTGATGTACTGCTGTAATGTTGAAATTGACGTCTGTAATTCGAAGTTGTTAAATAGATTTCTATGTGTCTACATTTTCTTTGATATATATACATAGTCTGTATTAATTATTATAGACATTTAATTATTGTAATTTTTCTTAAGATGGTGCAGGGAGAAGACAGAACAATATGTGGTTAAATAAAATCGATTTTATATGAAAATCTCATGTATTTCGTAGAGAATATATGAAGTAAAAATATGTAAATAACAGTAATGAAACTAAATGTTATGTATATAACTGTATCTTTGGTTGTACAGGTTTATTCATATAGCATTTGATAATGATATGTGACATATGGTAATAATATTTGAACATTTTTTTGTTTTTCTGAATGTTTTTCATAATAATTCTACATAGATAAAGAATATGTGAACAAGGTTGAAATATTCACAATTTCAATTAGTTTTAAAAAAGAAAAGTATTTATATTGTATACATTAAAATGACAAAGTTAATAGTTGAAGAGAAAGGGTTATCGCCTATAATCTTTTCGTAAAGTGTTACGTTACATTAAGTATTTACTTTAGACTTAACTTGTACATAATCTTAAACTTTAATCAACGCACACAAAAATCGTAATGATAAGATCAGAACTTAACGTAATTAACATAACGATTTTTGTGCTTTGACTAAAGTTTGAGATTATGTACTGACAATGAGTAAAGTCTAATGAATAAAAGGTTAGTACTTAACGTAACGTAACGCGTTACAGAAAAGCTTGTGCGGTGGTTCAAAGAAATACATAAAAATCTTAATTATAACGTATTAATATAGTGTAATATAAAATTTTGTGTTCGATTTTAATAATCTGAAAACATTAATATGTGTTTATAATACCACTAATCATACAAGAAAAATGTGATAAATATATATAGTAAGACGAGAGAAAATGATAATTGTACAACAGAATGGTAACTAAAATCATTGCTTACAATGTATGTAGAACTTATTTTAAGTAATTACTTATTCATTTTATGACAATACAAAATTTGATATCTTTTTCTTTCTCTCTCTCTCTAGTTATAAATAAGGAAACTTAATACTCTCGACTTCAGCAAAAATAATAGAACCTTGATACCATCACTCATGTTTACTTTGACTATATAAAGCAACATCCTTAAAATTAAATTTAAATCCTTAAACGTTTAGCGATAATACAAATGATAAATAATATGTAATTAATTAATTAACATAACATAAGAGATATTATACCATACTAACTAATCTATAATAATCAAATTGTAATTAATTCAAGATATCACTATAATTAGTTGTTTGTTGGCTAATCCGTTTATTGTAATTATTTTTATAATCTTTTGTAAGGATATCGAAAATTATCAGTTTTGTATTCGATTCATCAAGACACACAGCAATAACAAAACCTTGTTCTAATCAGTAAAATGAAAATGTGTCCTATTTATTTACTATAAAAAATGCTACTTTAATATGTAACAAAGAACTGCACCATTAATAAATTAAATGCAAAATTAATATTTTAAAATTTAGTTAATAAAATCGCCGACGAGTATCACATATCATTTTTTTAGCACAAAAGCAAGTAAAAATCGCATTAGTATCATTGAACATTTAGATTGAAGTGTCTAATATACATTTGTCTTGGAATTTCGCTACTGTTAACATTATAATAAAATAAAAGTTTGTCAGCTTTAATTGCTCTCAATTTGCAACCTTTTCATACATTTTTTCTATATCAAAATTGATTTAATTGCATAAAGTTTTTAAGTTTATGACTTTTGTCACTGCATTTCATACACTGGCTTGACAAATTTACTTGAAAACATCAAAATATATCAAAGACTTATATTAATAATGTTTGCAGAGATGATAGAAACATCACTGTGAAGGTTGCTTTACTGTTTCTGCCTTGTGCTTTGTTGTAAAAAGGAACAGAAGTAATCTATTATTCTTTTATCAATCTCATGATTTTTTAACAAGTTGAGTACTATTCAAGCAGCTATGGAATGTTAAATAAGATACAGCTGAACATCTTCTGGAACATATCACTTTATAAATTCCATCTTGTATTGAATCTGTTCCGTTAAGCATTCTATCCACTTCTCATCGCTGGGTATAGCAATATTCAGGTTCTCTGATTCTATTGAATATATTCAATATATCCGATAATCTAGGTGTATTCAACGTTATCTTGAGTTGAACGCCTTTACAAAGTTCTCCTAAAATGAGGCAGTGAAACTGAAACTAAAAGATAGAATAAGATTTACTTTGAACATCTATAATGTTGACGAACTAACGCACACATCTATATATTAGCTTATCTAATATACAGATTACTACAGATGTACAAAAACAAAAAGAAAAAGATATTGAATCAGAGTTGTATAGTACATATTAAATTAAAAAGTTATATATTATACAAAAATATAAAGTATTAATTATATGAATTTAATTTAAAAATTTAAGATTTAAGTAATATGAAACATTTTATATTGTTTTTAAAAAAATTCTGATTTTTTTACAGTATTCATAAAATGTTTTGTACGAAATTGCAAACTCTTACACTATTGTTGTTGCAAGGTTTTTGTTTATTATGCAGCCACGTTTTGATTTGCGGCGATGTACGCCGAGCCAGAGAAATATATTTTTTTTTTACTTCTTGAATCTCTTTTAGAGACGGCAATGTATGATTTTCCATATGTTGTGCAAACGCAGAAAGCACTGCTTCTCTCATTTTCTGTCCATCGTACTCTTTTGTTTTTCCATAAGGAGATGCTAGAGGAGTATAGAGAATATTGTTGAAATAATTTAACAAAACAAATAAGTATACTATTTGTTATTGACTTTGACATAAGAATAATATGTTGAGTGCTATAATTATACATTCTTATTATATTCCATCTTCAACGATAATAAATTATTTAAATGTTAATACTATTTTATTTTACTTATTTACTTTTAATTTTGAATAGTAATTATAAATAGTTTTAGTATAAATATTGGAAAATGTTATCGGTCATGGAAACAAAACTAAGTTATGTATTTCGGTATAATAAAAAAGGAGCGACAAAAGATAATTATTTGCAGGCACTAATCAAATATGTAATGTTATATTAGAAATATATAAATAAGTATCATTTTAAGAACGAATTAACATAATAATAAAGGAAACTGAATAGTATTGTAATTCGTACAGTTATGGATTGAAAGTAGATATGAAAAATTACTTACTACTACGTTTCCGTTTTCCACCTTGTTCATCCGTTTGCTTGTCAGAATTTCTGGAATGATTTGATGTCTCACATAATGAAATATCTACAATAAACAGTAGTTATTATTAAAACATTACAAAATTACAATATCATAATATCGTAATGCTCTTATTTTGTTATTATATCATTACAATATTAAAATAATATACAAAAGGAATACTTAGTATAAAATAAATAAGCACCAAAAAAACAAAACCAATTAATAATAATAAATAAACAGTGAAATAATTAATAATGAAAACAATAATGTAAATATAATGTAAATAATGTAAATCTTAATAATATAAACAATGTAGATATTAATGTTATAAATTCTACGTCTTACATAATTTAAGCAAATAACATTACTTATTTCGCCAGTATTATTGTTGTTAACGTCAATTATGTTATCTTCTATTTCAGAATCACTGTCCGATATCGATTCATTATTCGTATTTTGTGCATTTCCTTCCGATACTGCTTCTAAATAGCGGGAGATTTTCAGTATATCTCTGCTTGCTATTGGTTGCCTATAATGATCTCTATGTATTTTATCAGCATGACCCATAAATGTGGCAAGATCCGAAACATCAGTATCATTCAGATTAAATTGAATGCAGTGTGTTGCTATATGTTTTCTTAATGTTGTACCGCGCAAAGTAGTTGATTGACTTGCGTTACATTGTTGGGCAAATTTACGCATTAAAACACAGGCCCTCAGGTATCGGTGTCTATTTTTGTCGACAGCAGGTAGTCCAAAAATATAAGGGTTTTTCTTTAATACATTAGCCTCTTCACGATATTTTAAGATTAAAGTGATACAATCAAAGAGCTCATTCGGTAATAAAACAGGCACTGTGCGTCCTAGTTTTCCTCTGATGCAAAATCGGACATATTTCTCTGCAATTTTTCTATCTTCCATTGACAATGATTTATAAATATCACTGTACATATTTTTATTTACTTTTTCATAATTTTCAAAATCTTCTATTAATGCTCGCTCAATTTCTCCTGCTCGTCGTCTATTAAAGACATGTGTTGAAGTTAATGTTACTTCTGCTAAAGAAATCCACTTCTCATATGAAAAGGACTCATTTAATGCTGTATATGCTTCAGTTCTTATTTTCGCCAAATGTGTGTGTAATTTTTTAATATCTTCCAATGACGGGAGATTTATTTTCTTGTGCCTTTATGTGCAGACTGCGTTTCGAGAACTGTTTTGTTGACACTCGTACCTATATCCACAACTAACAGTTTTAAAAAGTCTTTAACTAATTTTTTCTTCTCTTCATCTTGAGTCTTGATGCATTCCATAATGAAAAGATTTCCTATATGCTTAATAAGTGTTGACAAGTTAGCCGCTACTGCAGGAGTTTTATAAAGTTGTTCTTCATTGTCATATCCTGCAACTACATTAATTGCTGAAATACAATCGTCATATATTTGTGGATGATACAGCGACTGAAAATTTACATTCGTATTTATATCTTTTAATGCTATAAGAAGACGACCTACCTAGTAGACGTAATCGTGCACGAATCATATCATGCTGATGTTGGGATTTGTATTTAACACACAACTTATTTGCATATATGATCAATAATTTGTCATATCTCACAATACGTGTTACTTCATCATCTCGCATAACAGGAAACACTGTTTTTCTTAAACACTCACTTGCTATTGAATGTATTCTACCAGTGATTTTTCTTCCCATAATCATAATATTTTATTTTTCGAAAATCTTTTTTAAGACAAACTCGAGCATGATGACGCGTATTGTGTTTTTGCGAAAAATCCTTTACATTTTACACAGGCAACAAAATCTTTAGCAGTCTTATTAGTTTTCTCATTTGGACGTCTGCATACAATTAATTGACCAGTATTAATTTTGGGTTGGTGTTAAATTTAAAATTACCCATTTTTCGAATAGTATCTATTATTTTTTTCCTTTCTGGGTTTCTTTAGGCAGCAGAATGGCAAATTTTTTACATTAGGCTCATTAGCATGTACTGTTTCCAAATGTCGTGCAAGCTGTGATTGCAACTTCATACAAAAAGCGCAATAATTTTGTTTCGATTTTATATTAGACTTTTGAACATACATAACTTCATCGTTACATGCTGATGTACCAACAACATTTGTATTTGATGTATCAAAACTGGAAGTGGATGAAATAGTTCTGTTAACAATTGACACTTGCTTTTGAGGAGATTCGTTATTTAAAGAACTGTTCTGAAGGTATATATTCTGAATCTTCATCATCACTTTCATTCTTATCATTATCTAGTATAAAAAAAAAACAAAGAAGAAATTATATAACTATGAACGAAGGACATAACTCACATATCATTGAAAAACTAAAGCACACAATATTTGCATGTCAATGTATATATTACCAAAAGACAAAAAATAATGTTTGAAGTAGGTAATAGAGATAATAAAATTTATTTATTTTAATTTTATCTCAAATATAGAATTAATAAATCAAGAAAAGTAGGCCAAAACTACGAGCCAAAGTAATTTAGATGTAAAAAAAATTAAACATAATTTATTTATAATAAAAAGTATACGTTTCGATTTTACTAGGTCTTTCTCAATACAAAAGGTAGTTTGTTCAAATATAGAGCACAATATTGCACGAATTACATTACTTAAATTTATAATTAGTCTTGCAAAAGTATATATATAATTAGTCATTATAATTAGAATCTCTAAAAGTTTATATAAAATTAATGAAACAAAATTATTGCCGCTTTTTGCATGAAGTTGCAATCGCAGCTTGTACATTATATGAAAATAATAACGAACTTGATGTAAAACAGTAGCAACTCAATGTTATAAGAATTATATCCATTAATATATATAATATTATATATGTACGTATATATCAATTATATACATAATATTGTGAAATTGTTAATTAAAAATGTACGTCAAAAATTATTTATAAAGAAAAAGAAAACATAACTACATACTATAAGACACTGGCGCAGCAACAATTTCTGGATCTGGCACATCATCTCGGCAAGGAGATAACATGCTTACACGTCTTGCATCAGTTTCTGTATGATTTATTGAAGATAAAAAAGAGATAAGTGTAAATAACATAAAATAATCCATGTTTACAAGATTATACTTTAAACAAATCTTAAAATGTCAGTTTATAAATACTTCATAAAACTTTATCAAATTGTATTACTGTGTTATATTTATTTTTGTTTTATGTCTAAAATTTTATCATTTCTTATGTATATTTGAAACTATAAAACCTGTTTTTTTTTTTAAATTTATATAAGTATAGATACAATCTTTATCTCTAACAAATATAAATATACACAAAACATTATTAATATTAATATTAATAATAATATTAATATTGTTTAATAATATTAATAGTTATAATATTGTTTGTTTATGTCTGGGCAAAAAAACGGCGTTATTTAGTTAAAAGGCAACAAAGTGAAGTATTGTTTCGGAAGATCTGAATAGCTTGGTTATAAGAGCAGTCGCTTGGAAAGCGAAAGACTCGGGTTCGATTCCCAATTCAACCAACTTTCAGACCGATATTTTCTCGTCTACAGCTTTACAGAGGGGTTAATGGAAAACATGAGAATTAGAGATCTAAATCAAAGATACTATTCCCAATTAGCAGAACAATTAATTTTCGCAATAACCGACGCAAAAGACATCGTATTAGGCTCCTGCAGCTGATATATTTATAATATTATTATATAAACATTAATGTTTATATTTTAATTTAAGTGTGGTTGTCTATTACTTTCATGATATGCTTATATATATATATATATATAAATTTTATTGCATTTATTTCTTATTTTTTTATAATTGTGTATATTTATATTTTGTTTATGAGTTTATACTCATTTATATAAAAATAATTCAATTTTACATACCAGTCATATTGAAACTTAATCTCCTAACACACTCATTGATTCTAATAGATCCATTAAATGAATCTGCAAACAAAACATGAGATTAGATAAACAGGGACAAATACGTTCATTCAACAGTGCAATAAAAAATTGCATATTATTTATAGTATAAAATATGAAACTTAATATTTGAAATTTAATTCTAACAGTATTGCATACCAGATAAAGAAATTTGCCTCTGCTGCTTCAATATTATCATTCATGAAAAAGTTACTTGGCATGACAGTTTCAATGCTCTCATTTTCATCTGTAAAGATTATTGTGCCAATATCTGAAACAATATATATAAGAAAAAATATTTCATACAGATAATAAAATAGTGCTTAGAAATATAACTGATAACATTATCTAAACTAACCAAAATTTACTGGGAGATCTGTAATCTCTTGATAATCACAGTTGTCAATAATACGGGAATTTCTTTTTTATGTCATATCCTTTATTCTTCGCATTTAAAAGCGTCGGTTTATGGTGACATTCTAAAATAATGAAAAAGTATTATAATCTAACACATAGAATACCATATATGCTGCATTGTGTCATTGCTGGAAAGAACCCAATGTGTATTTGACAATTTAAAAAAAAACAAAATTAAATAAAAGAATGTATTATTATTTATATGTATTTTATTATTATATTAAAAAGATATTAAGTATACAAATAATTAAAGATAAAGATATTTGTCAGTTTCTAAATAATTGCAAATATGCACATTTACCAGCATT